GGCGGTTTGTGTGAGAAGCGGCAACTGAATTTAAAACGCCGCTCGACACGATCTCGACAACGATGACTTCTGTGAAGGCGACGAAGATTCGTCCAGAAGCGGAAAGTTAGCACACAAACAACAGATTTCGAGACGAAACGCAGACGCCATGAGTGTTTAGTGCGGTAGTGCCTTTTATCGTTGCGTGTTTAACACTTAAAGGCGACTGTTGCGCGCGACACGGCACGACATCGTTTTTTGTCGCGTCGCTCTCTCTGCCGCCAACGACGACTGAGGCGCAAACACGAAACGTGAATGCGAAATTGAACGCTGCTTCGTTATTGTTACATGTTGATTTGTCTGCAATTTGCTGATGTGAAGCGAATGCTGTTTGACAGCCTCACGGCACTCGGTCAGTAGCACTTCGACGCATCTCATGCTCCTCTTCACAGGAGTCTCGCAGCTGTTGTAGCCATCCATGATCTCATTTGCATATTGCACAGATCGAGTAATGAAGCAGATGTCGTTTGGTTTATTGAACGGGTGAATGGAACGTGCCTCAGCGTATATCATTCGTTAGCCGGTGCGTACAGGCAAATAGTTGAATGGCGACGAATCGACGAATGTGACGAGACGAGTGACAAACAGGCAGACCGACGGCTAGAGAACGATGCTGACGGAACTCGATGACTAGTGACGGTGACTGCGAACGGTCGTCGCGCAAACCAGTGCGAGTCACTCGTCACGGGTCTCAGATATACTGAGGCACATTCGATGGCCGTATTCTTACATGGTGCTGATACACTCTGCATACTGGTAGGTTTTAGCCGAAAACTTCATCTCATACCGCAAACGTCGTTTTATAATCTCCAGTGTGAAACGGGCACGCGTATGTCATTTTTGACGATCAGTCGTTACCGACCGATGAACGCCGCCGTGATAGTGACAAAAATCATGTACTGCCGGAAAAGTCATTGTTTTGAGCACTGGTTTCTAAGGCGTGGAATTCTGCAAGAAAAGCCTAACACTCATCTTCATGGTAAGGGCACCTCGTTACGGTGACCTTTCGGACGTTAGTAAACTCCAAGCGACGGACTGATCTCTTTTTAAGGGTATGCGATGTACGACGAATGCGATTGTTTAAGAAAAAGTTTCTAAGTGCCTTTCTGAATGATGTTTATTGTCGATACACGTGATGCAGCGTAAGCTTTTCTGGTTACTTAACTACGTGGAATGTAGCAGACCGAAATTCTCGAAGTGCCGTTGACACATGCTCTGCACAAGTCCGACGTCGAGGTACACATCTCGGAAGATGAGCAGCGACTAAGGTAAGCAGTCACGTGATGAAACTGAATACCCCAATATGTATTTTCCCATCCTCGAAGGCCGAAGAGTCATGAACCTCAAAAAGTTTCTCTAACCGGGCAATGATACCTTAGGACTGACACGAATTTACGCGATTTTGAAGAAGATCTATCTAGAGGGAAGGTACTTGAGAAGAAGAACCTAATACTCATACGCATAGTTAAGTTATTTTGTTATAACCACTTTTTGGATGTTCGTAAACTCTAAGCGGCCTACCTGATCTCTTTTTAAGGGTATACGATGTACAGCGTATACCTTTGTTTAAGAAAAAGTTTGAAGTGCTTCTCTGAAAGATGTTGATCGTCGTTAGACTGAATATAGGGTCAGTTTTTTGGTCACTTAATTACGTGGGGTGTCAGCAGCGTAATTTGTTTTGTCGATTCGGTCGGTGCTGGATGAAGACCTCTCTAGGACTTCGCCACAGACTTCAAGTTTTCTAGCATTTTCCTCCGTCTAGAGCCAGCGAACTTCTGCCATCGCTCTGGAGCTCTTCCTGCCGATAATATACTCTCT